AAAAAAAAAAAAAAAAAAAAAAAAAAAAAAAAAAAATTAACTTCAGTGGACCAAAGCTTTAAAATATACAGTACATGGACATTAACTGAACTGGTTGAAATGCAGGAAATAATTTAAACAAGGAAGGTGCTCACATGTTATGTAAACATATTCATTAAGAAACTAAACTGGTTGAATGTAGTTTGATCTAGAAAACACATTTTAATGAAAATTACTGGTATAGTATTTGAGTAAAATTTTCTCTAAATTCAAAATTAGTGTAATCTGGTTGACAAAATAGCTGGATTGATTCTTAGATAATTAACATTAAGATACAATAAGCATTGACTTTATATAATGGGTTTTCCCATCATAAGAAATTTCTCATTGGAGCCCAGGCAAGTGTCAGAAGAATCTAGTTAAAGCGTTAAAATAATAGCAAGAATATTTATCTCTAGAGATAAGAGGGAAAGGAAAATAGGAAGTCCTACTGTTACAGAAAAAGAAGGGAATTCGATAGAGGCGATTGTTTGGGTTACGTTTGATTTACTTTCCTCAAGATTCGATGGTGTGTGGAGTTTAAGAGTGGACATATCTGTGGACTGCTTCAACTCCAAAAACCACTGCATACTTAGCGAGTTTCCCAGGCAACAGAAAATGCACTGCCTTCTGTACGTCCTCTGGCGTGAGGGTACAGCGGTTTCTGGAATGCATCCGTTGGCGGGCTTCCACGGCAATGTGCTCAAAGATGTCATTGATGAGGGTGTTCATGATGTCCACGGTGCACGATGATATGGTCCTCCAGGGAACAACTTCCTTTAGGACCCTGTTGACATAGAGGGAGTAATTTCTGTGGCCAGAACTGGTGCTGACACATGACTTCTTTCTGGAGATTGGTGCTGGATGTCTTCTGAAGTACCGCTTAATGATGGATTTGACCATGGTGGGAGTGGTGGATGTTATCCCCTTGATCTATTACGAATGGTGAGGAGGTGCTTAGGCTTGGGGGTGGGGGGGTCTCCTATTTATAGTGCTATGTCACAGATTGCTGGGGCTTCTCTCTGATTGGAGGTGGCTTTCCCTATGTCACAATCACCTAGCAACCCTAGCACTGCTGGGTTGTTAAGGGCAAATCCTGTTCTCGGCCCACCTAAAACTTCCTACGAAGGTACCAAGGTACCAAGGTAGCGAGAGTGTGGCAGGACTGAGCAACTTCAGGCAGAATACGGCAACTTCTTTTTCCTACTTTGTTTCTTAACAGTTTGGAAACATTCTAGGCAACATTCTCAGAACTGAGCGAATCCCTATCAAGTTGGGAGACTGGAGTAAGAAAAGCAGAGGAAATCTGGTCATAGGCCTTTTATGGAGGTCATTGTGTTTATAAAAACATATAAATTAATTTATAAGCAAATGAATGATTAAGCAAGCCATTTAAAATCTCTAATTGTTTTCTAATAATAATCAATTACATATAGCTAATCTGGTTTTGAGACCTGCGACCTTCATTTTTTAAGCTCAGTCTAACTTTTTCCTAAGCTAACTCCTCAGAAGTAATACATACACCTGAAAAATGAAACAAAAACTCCTCTGTTGGGTCCTCCTTTCCAAGATGATGAAAAAAAGAAGGAACAAAGGTCATGCTAAAAAGGGCCGCAGTTATGTGCAGCCTATTCGCTGCATGAACTGCACCTGGTGCATACCTAAGCATAAGGCCATTAAGAAGTTTGTCATTCGGAACATAGTGATGGCCACCACCATCAGGGGCATTTCCGAAGCGAGTGTCTTCGACGGTTATGTGCTTCCCAAGCTGCATGTGAAGCTGCGTTACTGTGTGAGTTGTGCCATCACAGCAAAGTGGTCAGAAATCGATCTGGCGAAGCCTGCGAGGACCGAACTCCTCCACCCCGATTTGGACCCGCTAGTGCTGCCCCACGGCCTCCACCAAAGCCCATGGGAGGGGAGCTGGGGCTTCATGGACTGAAGAAAACTCTTGAGAAAGACATAATAAATTGAATGTTATACTTAAAAAAACACACACTCCTCTGTTTAAATTATGATCTATAGGCTGTACTGATTAACCTTTTAAATGATACCATTCTTACAAATTTCTTTGTTTTGCATTTGATGGTACTGGTCATACTTTTCCCCTGAGCTATATTCCCAAGCATTTATTTATTTATTTATTTATTTATT